TAAATATTCATCTGTCGGAAATCTGTATATCAATAACAATTACGTAAATTACCTATGTAATTAAATATCGATGTCTGAATTTGAACAGAATCACTACTTATATGACGCATGTTTTTATTCACATTACTTTTAAATTAAAGTAAACGTATTGGAAATAAGTGTGATGGATAATATTTTACGTGGTATACAAAACGAAAAATGTTTGGTATATCTCGACGACATTATTATCTTTTCAAAGTCATTACAGGAACATCTGGAACGGTTAAGGGAAGTATTTGAAAGACTAAGAAAGACCAATTTCAAAATTCAATTGCACAAGTCGGATTTTTTTAAAAAGGATCAAATTAGAAGCGTATGATTATGAAATTCATACAAAACAGGTAAGTAATATCTTTGAATACATGGAAAGGTTCAATAAACAACTAGAAAATAACAACCCACTTCCTGAAGATGATAACATCCCTTTATTAGTACAACCAGATGAAAATGTTCAGGAAGTTCATGACAACCAAAATTTACAAGACGAAAATGAAAGCGTGCACTCAAATAGTGAAAAGGACCCTGTCGTTAGTACACCAAATGCAGATACGCCAGTAAATCATGGTCAAAATCAGGTAATAATTGGTCGAGTTCTGTATAGTCCCGCAAAACCTTTAGTAACTAGGCTTTCAGAAGATAAACAAGGAATACATGTCCAAATTTCCGAAAATAGCTTTGAAAATCATATAATAACCTTTATAAAATGTTTTATCGTACCTAAAGTTCAGTATCACCTATATTTTGAAAACCCGGAAATTTACGAACCATTCTGCGAAACGTTTTAAAATACTTTTGCAGTATGTAGTAAATGGTTCTCCTTAAAATTTAAAAAATGTAAATACAAATTAATTAACGTTAATGATAAAAAAAGACGTACAAGAAATTATCCGAAATTATCACGAAAGCAGAACTAACCATCGCGGTATCGATGAGACGGAACACAAAATTAAAACCACATACTATTGGAAGAATATGAATGAAGAAATCAATTCAAACCTATATAAATGATTGCGACATTTGCCAACAAAATAAATATGAATCCTGTTAAAATTCAAATGAACGTTACTCCAACAACAGCAAAGCTATTTGAAATAATTCACATGGACACTTTTACAATAGAAAAATCAAAATTCTTAACTATGATTGATTCCTTCTCCAAATATGCGCAAGCACAAGTTAGGTTCTATTCAAATTGTTGATGGTCTAATAAATTTTTTCACCGATCATGATGTTCCTAAACAGATTATTGTTGATAATGGTAGTGAATTCAAAAACGCAGTTATATCAGATTTGTAAAAATTTCATAAAATAATGATTCATTTTTCTTCTCCGAATCATCCGCAATCAAACAGTCCTGTCGAAAGATTACGTTCAATTTTAAGATTATTAAATTTACAAGGTCCTAACGAAACACCTATTGAAAAGAAATTAATGTACGCAATACTAGCTTACAATTATTCTATACATTCGGCAACAAAAATGAAACCAATCGATATAATTAATGGTCATTAATCCGTTTAATATCGATATTAATAAAATGTATGTAAGCGACTATAATATACAAAATCATAGAGAAACAACAAAATTATTACATTCCAAATTAAATGAAACTTTGACTCAAAATAAAGAAAAATTAATTGCCAAATTAAATAAAAATCGTGATGACCCTACCATATTTAAACCACAGGTCAAAACTTTCGTTAAACAGTATAAGCGACAGCAAACCGCGAATAAATTTAAATAAACCGACAAGTATAACGAAAGTTAACGAATAACACAAAACAATAGAAACGCCCACGCAAAATAAAGTACACGTGGATAGTATATAATGCCCACTTAGGAAAACATATGATTTGAATAATATTTCCAGAATTCCCATTACTACTTCAGAATAAAATAACCGTGAAACATTTGGAAAATAATTCAGGCCTAATACCTTTAAAATTAGGAAAATCTAAAGCTCAAGACCACATGAAAACACTAATTCACTACTACAATTTAAATCCATTTATAGTAGAAACTGATAAACTTGACTATAAGGCTACAAAATTATCAAAAGAAATTTATTTACACTCCATGTCTGAAGCATTAAACTATAGGGTTGTTCGGAAAGTCATTTCGTTTTTTCCCGACAGAGGATTTAATTGTATTCTTTTGCACCCAACTTCACATTTAAGCCGTATAATTTTTATATGCTTTGAGAGCTCATATAGCAAGGCTTGTGTGTGAAAAATTCCAATTAATTCTACGCAGTAGTTTTTGGTTGGTGCCCTTTTAAATATGGAGAGCGATAAGCAGCATTTTCGACATATCTTACTGTTTTACTACAGAAAGGGTAAAAATGCTGTTCAAGCCAGAAAGAAATTGACTGATGTGTATGGAGAAGGTGTGTTGACAGTACGCCAGTGCCAGAACTGGTTCGCTAAATTTCGATCCGGCAATTTTGATGTCGAAGATGCACCACGTTCGGGAAGGCCGGTTGAAGCTGATAAAGACGCGATAAAGGCATTAGTTGATGTGAACCGGCGAATAACAACACGTGAGATCGGATTGAGGTTAAATTTATCAAATTCAACAGTTTATGACCACTTGAAAGGCCTGGGATTATCCTCGAAGCTCGATGTATGGGTTCCCCATGTTCTCACAGAGAGAAATCTGTGTCGCCGCATTGACGTCTGCGATTCGCTTCTCAAACGTCACGAAAATGATCCGTTTTTGAAGCGCATCATCACTGGGGACGAAAAATGGGTTGTATACAACAACGTCAAACGCAAGAGGTCATGGAGCAAAAAAGATGAACCGGCTCAAACCATTTCCAAAGCCGATATTCACCAAAAAAAGGTGATGCTGTCTGTTTGGTGGGATTTTAAAGGAATCGTTTTTTTTTTGGCATTTGCCGGATAACACAACGATTAATTCGGAAGTCTACTGTCATCAGCTGGACAAACTGAATGATGCACTTCAACAGAAAAGGTCAGAACTAATCAACAGGAAAGGTGTAGTGTTTCACCAAGACAACGCGAGACCTCACACAAGTTTGGTCACTCGCCAAAAGCTTTTACAGCTTGAATGGGATACAATGCTACACCCACCATATTCTCCAGACCTGGCACCATCGGATTATTATTTGTTCCGGTCACTCCAAAATTTTTTAGACGGTAAAACCTTCACCTCAAATGAGGAGGTCAAAAACCTCCTCGATCAGTTTTTTGCCAGCAAAGACCAAAAATTTTATGAGCGTGGAATTATGCTACTACCAGAAAGATGGCAAAAGGTGTTGGACCAGAACGGTCAATATATAATTTAATAAAGTATTTGTTTATTATACGAAAACTGTCTTTCATTTCCACAAAAAAAAAAACGAAATGACTTTCCAAACAACCCTATATTTACAAATATTATATATAACAAAAGAAAAAGCTAAGGTAAAAATTAACTAGATCATTCCTCACGATAGAACAATAGCCAAAATAAGTATGGTAAACGGTTTAGGCACCATATTTAAATCCATATGCTTCCAACGGAGAACGATATGAAAACTTAATTAGAGAACTACAACAGAACTCATATTGAAAATGAAATTAATTAAAATAACAAACTATTAACAACAAAATTCGATTCAATTTTCTTTAATTGTTGAAGATACATTAAATCAAATTATAAATATGTACGAAATAATTATACCTATTCTCCAGGATATAGAAAATTCTATTACATTCTCAAAATTGGTTATTTTACATCCTAGTATAGTCGGAGCAATTGATTTCTTTAACGAATTAACTAAATTGCAACTTTATTAAAATGAGTTACCCGTTTTAACTATTAAAAGTTAATAAAAGTCGAATACTATATATGTAACAATAAAATTACTTTTCTTTTGCATTTACCTGTTATACATCCTTAGTTTAGACTATTACCACCTATATTCCGTTCCTGTATTAGCACAGGGTCAATTTAAGATTACCAGCTCCAATAATAATTTTCTATTAAAAAACGAATTGTACTTTGCATTCCAAAACATTTGCAACCAAAATTATGCCACAATTATACAAATGTAGTCAGTAAACATTCAAGAATATACGGATAATGTTCCTTGTGAAATGCAATTGTTGAGTATGAAGAATACTAATTCATGTCGACAAGCAATAATTAATATGTCAAAATCAATTATTAAGCAATTGGAAAAGTCGACCTAGTGGATTTCAAAAACAATTAAATTCTACGGTTCATACCTTATTGATATTCCGACTAATTGTAAAGTGAGTACCAGTGAAAGAAGAATAATAAAGAAAGAAGAAGTAATCAGTCAGAAACAACTCGTGCTTTTCCTAGAATTACAAGAAAATAAATATTTTACACCAATCACGGTGAACACCCACTTCGATTTACTCCAAATTAATTTGGGCGGACTATCTGAACTAAAGAAGACAATAATTGAAAATCAGCCACAAATCTCATTCAACAAACTACAATACATCCCTAACGTTTGGACCAATATCCTGTATACTTTTTCCGCGATAACAGGTTGTTATTTTGGATACAAATGGGTAACTGTAAAATGTACCAAAAAGAAACCAAAAATGGGTAACGAAGCAATAACCTTGGAAAACGTTCAACTTCGCGAGAAGGAATTATCTCACGATATACCTACTGTACACCTGTTATTACATGCATCATCAAATCATCGCCATGGCCCATTTTGCTACTGACAAGACATAAAAAACCTTTTTTTTTACACAATATGTATTAATCATCTTTGTAACTTCTTTTAGAGTAGATACGTTCTTTTCTTGTAATATTGATATTAATAAATTTTTAAAAAGTCGATTATTTCGTCGAAAAGCATTAGCTTTTATTAATTTTAATATGTTTTAGCTTTAGATTTTAAATTTGTATTTATACAGAAAAAAAGTGACAATGTTGAAGCAAATGGCGATTGAAAATATTAGATAGCATCTTACCTTCTGATAGGCACAAGGAACGAGTTCTGCACTGTACGCTTCACTCTTCTTAAATGACACAGAACAACGTTGTAAGGAAGTCTAGTGATAGGAACAGATGATAAGTATTATTGTGGTAGATTGCATGTTTTTGTAATTAATACTTATCTTTAATTTTGCGGTATTGTGGGAAGACTGTTATAGCAAAAAAATATCCCATGTGTGCCTTAACGATAATTCCTTTATTTATAATTCAAATTTTCCTGATTCAGCTTTAATTCCTTTAAAGTTTGCTCTCTATTTTATTACCGACCAAATTTATTTTTTTTTCCTGGTGTTTAAAACTCTCCTTCTCCATACTTCCCTCCAGTCAAACCAATAAGCGATTTAATTAAAAAGAATGTACCCTTCGACTGGTTGAATGATCAGCGATTATCATTTAAGACGATCAAATCGAAATTGACTGCGAGATCAATATTGAGCATCGGTGCCTCCCAAAATCTCCACCTGCATAAACCGGACAATTTAAGATCCCGACAGTCCTAGATTCCGTGACGGGCCAAAATTCATGATGTTTTGATAATTGTTAGGTTAGGTTAGATTAGGTTAGACAACGTATCCAATATTAGATTTTCATTTCCATCTTTCTGCTTTCCACTTACAAATACTTATTTATTATTGTACAAGTTCAACCCTCGCCACTTCACCCTTTTCCCCCTTACCAGTTGAAATTTTTGCTATACTATCATAAAGGAAAAGAATAATTGATATCCGTATAGTCTATTATCTGGCACACATAAAATATTTACTTCTAGTAAGACGGTGAGCATTCTGTCAACCAGGAAGTAAGTGAGCTTGGTTTATATGAATCATGGATCAATGGCTAGTAGATATAAATGTCACGAATTCACAATGTCTTCCACCTCGGTTAATCAAAATGAAATTCGTACGTTAACAAGCTACTCCTCAAATTCTCTTCAGATGGAAATATTTGCTTTTAATTCATGAATTGCAGTCCTCTTATTCGTGAGTAATCATTTTTCAATTGTTTTCTTTAGTTTGGAGTGGAAAATTGACCTTATGCCTTATTGAACCTCATCTTTATGTTTTCCCAGTTTTTAATAAAATTTTCACTTTTATTTATTAATTGTAATAAACATACATATTAGCTTTCTTCCATGTTTATCCACATAAATGCATGGACATGGAACAATTGAATTAGGCTACACAGGGTGTAACTGAAATAAGTACAAAGCTTTGGAGTGTGTCAACTAGATACAAAAAGGAATCGCATGGTGAGTACATTAGCGTGGTTAAGGGCAGACATATTTTTAAGAAACCCTCAAAATTTGACATCGCTAATAGTATGCAACACCACCAGGTTACATAAACACTGGCAGTTAAATAAATATTAGCTGGAAAAGTAACTGTAATTTTATTAAGGTAAATATCGACATCACCATTGAGGACTACCAAAATTAGCCGAAATTCATACTCAAGCAACCACACAGCGAATCTAATGTTTGGTGTTTCCTCGAAGAGGCTCCGGTTTGAACTACTATGTCATCTAATTTCTCCAATGACACAGGATACTGCATCGGCGTCAAGAATCCAACAAGAGAAGAGCAAGTTTCTCATAATAATACTTACGATTAGTATGGATTTCTTCGAACCATTTTCTACGATTCATCTTCTCCCAGAAGACAGCACTATAACCTGACGAGATGGAAAAGCGGTCTGAACTTCAAACTAGCTGAACTTTTATACAATGAATCAGTCAAACCCTTCAGCTTGGAAGTAGGAAATAAATAGTCATCTTCTCGGTCCATTTATAGACTTCCCGCCCCGTAGTTCATCAGCCTTTTGATACCACTGTAGAACAGTTTGATTTTTACTGTCAGGATCGTAGTCCGGTATAACGTAACGCAGCCCTTTCCAGATGGTAAACTAGGAATCTTCCGTCGTCGTGATTATTGTTAGAGCTCATTTTTCAATTTGTGGCAAACAAGCTATTTAAATTAAACATATTGCCAAGGAGAAGGAAAAAAGAAAGACAATAAAAAAAATACGCAAAGAATATCTGTAGTTGTCACCTTGTCAGTTGCATTTTTTTTCTTTCGTAAATTGGTAATACCCCAGGAAACCCCACACCTGAAAAAATCAGAAAGAATTTAGCAATTTTGATATTTAGATGAACATGGAAATGCCCTGTTAGTGAACTCACTGATAATTGTTCATTATTTCCACAATTTTAACAATTTAGCACAATTTAATTCTTTCTTTCTAATACTACTCATACATAGTGGTCATAAACTTAGAAATTAGGTAGATATAATTAATACGAGAAAATGTTATATTATTATAGTAANATTTATTTATGAAAAACAATTATTTATTACGCTAATAAAAAAATATACCAATTATCTTAAACTTCGTCAATTTGTAAAATTGTTGAAGCGTTTAAATAATTATTACCGCTGCACTTCAAATAAGCTGCGCAGTGTACACAAGCGGTCCTACATTCTGGTGTATCTACTGTTACAAGAAAAAAATTTTAGTAGATTTTCGGGGACTGGGGGTAAATTCGATTTTATTGATCTTTACGTCTCTCGATCGTCCCCACTCTATCGGTGAAATATTACTTCCCAACCACGCTCGAACTCGGCATTAGGTGTAGGCGCTAATGATGTTAATCGTAGATAAGCAACTTTATTCAGTCCTGAAGTTTTCTTCTGGTTGTCATTTACAACGATGTAATATTATCCTCCATCAATTACATGCGTGATTTTCTTAATGTCATTAACATCTATTGTTAGTTCTGGAAATGGTACGTAAAATACTGATGCCCGTTTGTACCGACGTAAATAAGTACTACTTATCTTTAAGTAGTTCATAAAAGACGGAAATGGTTTGCAGCGCAAATTAAGTCGCGCTTACGAATCGAAACAGATGCTTAACTTTAAGCAAAAGATGTTCCTGGCTTAAGCATTGCTTAAGCCTGTCCTAACAATTTCGGCAGTAGTTCGGTATTTTTCGTCGTAATTTTTCTTGTCTTTCTCATACCGCAATTTTCAAACAGACCAAAGGAGATAGGGCTAAATCACATACATGTTTTCAATTCTTCTGATTTTTTTATTCTCAGCGAATTATCGTGTTTTGACAAAATTTGTATTGGAGGGGCGGATCCAGAAACAATTCAAAACGTGGAGGGGAATTCACTTTCTCGTAAAATTTGTAGAGTTGTTATTTGGAATAGGATACGGTGCCCCGTTTAAAGTGATAAAAAGGAGTCCTCATTAACAAGACAAGTATCATACACGTGGCAGATATTCCACGCTGACGGGGTGACCCAAGCGGCCGAACATGTCTTTGATTAGTAAAAATTGTATAAGTAATTGTAGCCTTAAACAGTTAAAATAATATATTTGAAAAACCGAACATGCCGCGTTTTTCAAAATTTACATAACTCGAATTTGAAACTTCAGTGACACTTTTGCATAGTTTGCATTGATGTATGCATACAGGGTGTAACAGAAATGAGTGCCGAGTTCGCAAGAGGTGATAGAGCACTATAAAATATAAAAATTAAGTAAATTGAATAGTTGTTCAGGAATGTTACATCATCCGGGAATGACATCCACCGCAATTAGATCCTCTGGCAACTTTGTACTTTTAAGTGATACAGTAAGCATGATGGTAGTATTAAAGAATCACACAATAAGTCATTTTAGAATAAAGTATATACCTATTGGAAGAGTTCTAAGAAATGGTCCAGTTTTAATGAAAACATTGAGATCAATGAGATTTTTAATAAAATAAAATTACAATATCTTGCAATCGTCCATCTTACCTGAAACACCCATCACAGCGAATGACGTCACGCCTAAGTAAATGTCAATCAGAGACAGCCTATTGCTTGAACTTTTGTTTTGATTAAGCATTTCGATTGATCCCTGCATCATTTAATTAGTGAATTTGTTGTTTAATCGTGGTTTTGAGATTAAAAGTCCAAGAATCATCAAAGTTGAATCAAAGTACTGTATTTCGCCGTGCGCCGTTTATCTCCCATTATTTTATTGTTTGGAACATAAATAAACAATATGTTAGGTATTGCTATTGACGTGTTTCTGCATAGAGGGTCCAGAGACCGTTAGTAACTTTTGAAATTCATTTTTGACACCCGAAAATTTTTTGACGACTTTCTGCATTCTTCGTTGACACAATGCAATCTTTACCCAGGCGTGACGTAACACCATACGCCATGACACCCCAAAGCGTTTTCGTTCATAATTTCAAGTGGATATAATAAAATAAAATAATATGCGTTAAAAATTAATTTAGTGCTGAAATAATGTGTTTTTCGCAAATTATAGACGTGTACATAAACTATAAAAGGGGAATTCAAAATCTGTCATCTTGTTCATTTCAAAATTCGTAAGTGACGTCCCTACATCAATTTTTTTAAGTCGATTTTAACAAAGTGATTTCGCCAGCTAATTGTGAGGTATCCGTCCATGTCATACTGTTTGACAACTTTCCTTCTCGGCATCCCCATGGATGACTGTACTGCAATTCGATCACCAAAAACTTTACAAATTTTCGTCACGGTAATTCTCGTAAATGTCCAGTGCGTACATGACCTTCACCAAATTCAAACAGCAAGGCTTTATACTGAGAAAGTAAATCAGTGAGGTACATTTATCTCAATAATTTCCGCATTTATAATTTCCGTAATAACATTGAATGCTAAGTAATGAAATTGTCCATTTTTATGCCAATAGCATAGGCAGAGGTATTCCATCATACACAGAAAAAAATTAGCTTTAATTAGATGTATGAATTATAAATATATGTCATGAATGTATGAATATAATAAAGTAATGCCTATCTACACCTGACTTCGAAGAGGTTGCAGCCAAGTGCACAGCAGTAACGATAAATTTTCAGATTCATTACAAATGTACAAAAATTAATTAATATTATTTTAATTACCTATGAACACTAGCGGCCACATTCTGATAGGCCCTTCAGTAAAAACCTCCGATTACGGTTCCACTGAATAGATTTTCGTGAAACCTTTTCAATGAATATGAAT